AGTTGCCCATGCTCTTCCAGAGAAACACTGGATTTCCAGTCAGGTGCCTGTGATGGTCTGGTCTTCAAAAGCCTTTTAAGTCCTTATCCCATTTTGCCAATTAAAACAATTAGGTGTCAGAAATGTCATAAAGGCTTACGTGCTTTACTGTAAGCATATCAGAAACACCATAAAACTTAGTTTTTACAAGATTAAATCTGGTTTCAAACTCTCGCTTTTAATTTCACACAAAAATTACTTCTCAGTGGCAAATGTATAAAAGTAGGAGTTTTCTCAGAAAATGGAAAGTGCCCAGAAAAATGGCAACACTCTTGTCTGTGGTCTATCATAGTGGCAATATGAGACGTCCAATATGTCCAGTTTCATTTGAGGCAGAAAACTGGGGCATTTGTTAAGGTAGGGTTCTTATGTTCTGGGGCATTGGTTGGGAGTGTCCTTATGTTCTAGATCACTGGTTAAGGGAGTACTTATGTTCTGGATTATTGGTTGAGGGCGTCCTTATGTTCTGGACCACTGGTTAGGGGAGTCCTTATGTTCTGAATCACTGGTTAAGGGAGTCCTTATGTTCTGGATTATTGGTTAGGGGAGGGTCCTTATGCTTAACCATAGTGGCATGTGCTAGGGAATAAAAATTTCAATAAAAATTTCGCTTGTGGAAAGCCCTTGACCATTGTCTTCCCAACAACACCCTTGGTATCCATATGCTCCTATTTTCCTTAGGATTGAGCCATTTCCTTTTCTCAGTCCCTAAAAAAGGGAGGAATATCTTCTATATATCTGAGAACTTTCATTTCCAGCTCTGAAATATGGAAGTCTCCGCAATCAGCAGAAGCAGAGAAACTTGAATTTATTTTGTAAAATATTAACCAACTTAGAATGCTGGGCAAGGTTTGGCATTGGTGGTGAGGGGGTCGAGGGTCTGGGGGTTGGTGGGACAGGAGGTTGGGGTGGGTGGTGTATTTTGAGCTTTGACAGTAAAACTAGTTTTTCAACCAATTTGTTTTGTAGCATCTGAGAGTTGGTAAAGCTTTTAAAGTTTAGAAATTAAAAGGTCAAAGAGTAAAAATCATTTAGACTTGGAAAGCTGTGCGGTCTCCATCACAACTACTCTGCTCTGGGCTAGAGCCCGACCACAGCCGGAGCTAACACAGTTGAATGGTTGTGTCTAATAGGACTGTGACGCTAAAGGATGGTCTTGCAGAAAGTTTGTATATCACAGCGTGTTCTTTCTATTAGATTTTGACCCAGGGGCCAGAGCAATAGTACAGCAGCGGGTAGGGTACGTCTGCCTTGCATGCGACTGGCCTGAGTCTGATCCCCAGTGTCCCATATGCCCCCCAAGCACTGCCAGGAGTAATTCCTGAGTGAGAGTCAGGAGTAACCCTTGAGCATTGCCGGGTGTGACCCAAAAGCAAACAAAAAAATTGGGGCTGGAGCGATAGCCTTGTGGAGGAAGGCATTAGCCTTGCATGTGGCACTCTCAGGTTCAATCCCTAGCATCCCATATGGTCCCCAGGGCCTGCCAGGAGTGATTCTTGAGTTCAGAGCCAGGAGTAACCCCTGAGCATCGCTGGGTGTGACCCAAAAAGTAAAATAAGATAAAATTAGATTTTGACCCCATTCTTAAAAAATGAAACTATCCTTAGCTGCTGAGTCATATGGAGTGGGTCAGATCTGACCTTTGGGCTATGCTTTGCTGATTTCTGCTCTAATATGAAAGTTTTGCTCCGAAAGAATCTTTCCTGAATTAAGAACTATTTACTTCCATCAACAGCACATTTGGGGGCACTTATTACAGTCCTTACCACCTACTTCCGTCAAAACAATTTTTTTTAGTTTATAAACACAGTAACAACAAGTCTCATGATGGAGACATTACTGGGCCCGCTCGAGCAAATCAATGAACAACGGCAGGACAGACAGACAGGCAGATAATAACTTTAATAATGATTTCTCATGCACATAATTCCAACAAAACACCCACCATCAATGTACCCATTTCCCTCTACCAAGGACCCCTGATCTCCTCCCTCTCACCACCACCCCCAACTCAATTGTGTGGATTAGTTCTCCTATTATGTTACTTTGGATCTTTGTTCATACTTCACTGTTGTTAAGTCCCACAATGAAAGAGATCATTCTATATCTGTCCCTTTAATCCTGACTGACTCCTCCAGTAGCATTGTAGCACTGTTCTCCCTTTGTTCATAGATTTGCTGGAGCAGACCCAGTAACATTGTAAGACTTGTTGTTACTGTGTTTGGCATATCCAATACGTCAAGGGTAGCTTGCCGGGCTCTCTGAGAGGGGTGGAGGAATCAAATTCGGGTCAGCCGACTGGCCCTTGTGCAAGGCAAACACCCTACCTGCTGTGCTATCACTCCAGCCCAAGTATAATACACATTAGTATAAGTTGCATGAGTCTGTTCTATCTCAGAGTTGCAAACTACTGCCCTGTGTATAGTTCTTGATACATTCATCTGTAGTTGAGCATTTGAGTTGTTCCTCTGTCATGGTTATTGTACTAAGTGCAGTGATGAACATAGGTGCACATGTATGCTTTGGAATTAATGCTTTTTTTTTTTCTGTTTAAGAATAGATACCAAGAAGAGGTACTGCTGGACCCTATGGGAGTTCTATTCTTATTTTTTAGAGAAATTTCCATATTGTTTTCCACAGAGTTGGAACCAGATGACATTCCCACATACAATGGATGGAGGTTCCTTTTTCGTCACAACACTGCCAACACTAGCTATTTCTAGGTTTTTTTTATTTGGAAGGGTGGATTTTTTTTGCTTTTTGGTTTGTTTGGTTTTTTTGTTTTGTTTTGTTTTTGCTTTTTGGGTCACACCCAGCAATGCACAGGGGCTATTCCTGGCTTATGGTCTCAGAAATTACTCCTGGCGGTGCTCAGGGGACCATACAAGGTGCTGGGAATTGAACCTGGGACGGCCGCGTGCAAGGCAAATGCCCCCTACCTGCTGTACCATCACTCCAGCCTCTCTTTTTGGTTTTTGGATCATACCAGTGATGGTCAGTCTTTATTCTTGGCTCTGCACTCAGAGATCACTCCTGGTGGGCTCCAGGGACCATATGGGGATTGAACCTAAGTCAGCTGCTTGCAAAGCAAACACCCTAATGGATGTACTACTATTCTTGGTCCCCCCCAGTTTTCAGGTTTGGGGATATGTGCCATTTTCATAGACAAGCGATGGTATGTCATTGTTGTTTTGATTTTCATTTGTCTATTTTTAAGGGGGGATGAGCAATTTTCAAATGCCTATTGGCCATCCATATGTCTTCTTTTGGGGAAGTATCTGTTCATCCGTTCATTTCCTCAAGCCTGAGAGACTTTTTTTTCTGCTTTTTGGGTCACACATGGCGATGCACAGGGGTTACTCCTGGCTCTGCACTCAGGAGTTACTCCTGGCGGTGCTCAGGGGACCATATGGGATGCTGGGAATCGAACCCAGGCTGGCTGCATGCAAGGCAAACGCCCTACCCGCTGTGCTATCTCTCCAGTCCCAAGCCTGATGGACTTTTTGTTGGTAAGTTTGGTAAATGCTTTATAGATTTTGGATATCAACCCTTTTTTAAAAGTATTGTGTGCTAGTATTTTCTCCTATTCAGTAGGATGTCTTTTTTCTTAGCACTTGAGTTTCTTTTCCTGTGCAGAAGCTTTTTAATTTTATTCAAGCTCGTTTTTTTTTTGTCCTTGCCACTGTGATCATCTTGCAGATTCCTTTGTAGCCAACAATTTTTGGGAAAGTTCTGCAATGTTTTCTTTTTTGTTGTTGTTTTTAAGTAATTTTATTTTATTTATTTATTTGTCTTTTGGGCCACATCCAGGTCTCTGAAGGGCTTTGCATTCTGGGATCACTCCTGGCAGGTTCAGGGACCCCTAAGGGGTGTTGGGGATGGAACCCTGGTGGCTTGCAAGCGATGCAAACTGCCATATCCACTGTACTGTGTCTTCGGCCTGCTGCCAATGTTTTCTTCAACAAATTTTATGGATTCTGAAGAACAACATCTCATACACGTTCCCAACCCTGGTAGCATCCCCTGCATTGCATATGGTCCCCTAAGCCCCACCCACAGTAAGTCCTGAGCACAGCCGGGTGTGACTCAAAAAGCTAACCAAAGCCAAAAACAAAACAGTAAAACACACATAACAAAAACACAGTACAACCGCTTAGCGGAGAAACGCTCTTGGAAGAAGTGAGTCGCTTACCATGTCCAGACTGGGAGTTAGTTGCACACGCATATACACATACCGAGGCAAGCATGTTTTTAAGGTTTTCTGAGTTTCCAGATCATTGGTTGGTTTTTATATTTTTTCCTATGTCCTAAAGTTTCCTTTGAAGCAAGGAAACACCATTTAAAAAAAAGCATTGCAAGGATCTCCTTAGGAATTTTCTCGCCGGAGATGAACAGTTCCAGACCTGATCCCATCTCGAGGTGCTAGGGACGCCCAGCAGAAGCCGAGACAGCACCCAGCGGTGTGCAGCGCCACCTCGTGGGAGCTGCGGGGTGTTGCTAGCGGCTGAGGGTCAAGATTCCGAAATACTTGGGAGTTTCACATACCCTGACCGCCTCGGCGTAAATCAAAAGCTATAATGCATCTCTAACGCCTCCAAACTTGCCAGATCCAACTAAATAAACATCCGTCATCCCCTCTTTACGCAAAAGATGCTCATGGGGGCGGACCTTGCCTCGGAGGAGATTGCAACTAGGCTGGAGCGGGCTTTTCCTGCGTTTGCAAGCGTGCTCCCGTGATTAGCCCTATGGGCGGGACTTAGGCGGGTGGGCGCCCGCGATTGGGCGGGGCCACCGCAGATGGGCGTGTCTTAGCCCTGCCTGGGGTCACCCGGTTCCGTCCCTGGGTCGCCACCCGGCTAGTGGGCGGGGCTGATGGCTCCGCGGCTCGCCCAATGGATGAGGCGTGTGGGCGGGACTAAAACCCGGGCGCTGATTCCTGATTGGCTCCGCCGTCTCGGCACTTCCTGAACGCCGCGTGCGCTTATGGTGTCTCCTGGAGCCGGAGCTGCTGCGTGAGGGGCGTCCGGAGCTCTAACTGGTGAGGGGCTAATGAGGGCCTTTTCGGGTACACTAGCGTGAAGACTCGGGGGTTGGGGTACGATTGGGGGAGGGAGGGGTCAGTGGCGCCGGGGCTGGAGGCTGCGCTCCCGGCAGCTGGCCTGCGTGGGGCCCGGGGTCGGTGGCCGCCAGCCCGTCCGCGCGTGTCATGAAAACTCTGGTGATTGTGGCTTTTTGCTACTATCTATGGAAGGGATCTGGTTTGTTTGCTTTTTTCCCCAAGCATTTGGGAGGCACTTGGATTTGTAGTAATCCTGTGGATGCTGCATGCGCAGCCCCCCCCCCCCCCACACTCACACCTATGCATGCGTCATTGCAACTGGCACGACCCCGGGAACCTGCTTCCGCCCACCCGTGTCCTCGGGACCCCTCTAAGAGCCTCCCTCGGCAGGTGAGCTCAGCCCAGTCGAGAGAATCTCCAGTTCTGAGGACTCTGACCATTGGTTGTTTTCTCGGTGTATTTCTCTTCCGGACTTTTTATTTTATTTTATTTTATTTTATTTTATCAACAAAGTCTCCAATGGAAACGTTACTGGGCCCGCTCGAGCAAATCGATGATCAACGGGCGGGCCTTTACTTACTTTATTTTATTTTTGGTTTGGGTGCGCCCAGGGATGCTCAGGGGTTACTTCCTGGCGGTGCTCCGGGGATGCCAAGCATCCAACCCGGATCGGCTGCGTGAAGGCGCGCCCGACCCCCCTTGAGTATCTCTCCAGCCCCCCCTTGGGTATCTTTATCTCGTTATTGGGGACAGATCATTCTTTGTGGCTTATTGTGGCGGTGGTAACACCCACACACATAGGTGAATTGGGTACACATTTTAAAAATGAAGGCCATGAACACCTGTACATCTTGGGTACACATTTTAAAAATGAAGGCCATGAATAATTCTGGGCGGATGCATGTGAAGATTTACATGGAATAGATACATCCTGCAAATGTAAAAGTTTAGTACGAGTGGAGAGTGCTAAGGATAATTGAAAGGCAGAATTCGAATAGGCCTCTAGAATTATAAAAGTTAAAAGTGGGTTTTATCCTCAGAAAGGGAAATCGGCTTATGTGAGAAATAGATTTAAGTGTCTGCATTAATAAGTAAAGAATTGGCGATAAAAATATATAGATTTAAAAAAAAACCAGCTAATCAGGGATAAACATTCAATATCTGAAATGTTAATTTGTTATTGCGAATGTATACAATTCCGTAGCAAAATAGGAGTAAACTTTTTTTTTTTATAAATCTAGTTGAAGTCAACCATAAGTGCCGTGAATGAATGCCCTACTCAAGTTTGTCTTCTTTTAAAAAGTTCCATTTTTGTTTCTGAAGAACAGGAAGGTGAACTTGTTGAAAAAGCAATAGTTAAAAGAAACCATTGATAAGAATTTCCAGTTGATGAACACAGGTGCTGAGATCCGAGACGCCCTGGAGGGCCCCAACTGAAAACCAAGACACTTTGTACTCAGAATGACAAAAATCCAAAGATAAAGAATATTGAAAGCAAGAGAGAGGGAAAAAAAGGAACTTATGTAGAAAGTAAAGCCCATAAAATTTGCACACAGCCCATCTGCAGATGAGGCCCTACTAGCCAGAAAATGATGTACAAAATCTTCCCAAGAATACTCTCTCCAGTGGATTATCATTCGGATTTCAAGGAATGAGACAGTTACAGAGACAGGCAGCTAAGGGAATTCTGAAATGTAGCCTTGAATGTAGCCTTATAACACTGGTGTTACAAGAAGGATTATAGGAGGTCTTAAAAAAAGGATTTTCGATGATTTGGAGGGGATTACTTCTGTGTATTCTCTCCTGTAATCATCCTGTTTCTGAAGAACAGGATGGTGAACTTGATGAAAAAAGTAGCAGTTAAAAGAAACCATAGATAAGAATTTCCAGAGTCTGTGCATGCAAGGTGCTGAGATCCGAGCATTTGTGCTGAGGCTAATAATTAAAGTGCTTCTATAATTATTTTGTTTTCCACACTTTGCTTGTAAGGAAGAGGATTGATGAGAGTTCAGAAGTGTTATTGGCCCTGTTCGGTGGTTTGTCAGACTTTGAAGATGAAATGCATTTTTGTAGCATGTGAGCAAAGGAAATGAATGTGCAAGCTGTCTTAGGAGCACAGTAAGCCCTTGAAGACTGGGCTGGGTGTAGGGGTAGCCAGAAATACATACAGCTGACAGATTTATACTAGATTCGGGCTTGGCCGTGTGCCAGGGTAACAGCGTGCTCACCTGTTATTGAAGTTTTTTGGTGTTCGGATGTCAGCATCACATAGTGCTATGTAAGACAGGTTTAAATGCAGGTAGTTTTAGACAGGGATGGGGGGGATGGGCGGGGGTGAGGAGGATGTTGGGTCACACTTACTGGCTCCTCCTAAAGGTGCTTTGATGCCCAAGACTTTATAATACACCCCTAGAGCTACCTTCCCAGGAGTTGACAGTCTCTCCATAATAAGCAGATAGTAAATATTTCAGTCTCTACTGCCCATAGCTGTAGCAGGAATGGATCCATAAATAATACACAGCTAAATGGACATGGCAGTGTGCTAATAAAACTTTGTTTACAGACATCGCTGCCTGACCCAGTTTGACCTGGCCCATAGGTTTAACCAAAAGGAACCGAAGCATTGTCTGAGGAAACTAGTCCTGAATTAGACAGTAATGGTTCATCTTTCTTTTTTTTTTTTTTAAAAAAATTATACAAGTGGCCAAGTCACGTGTTTATTTTACCTGATTGAATCATTACATCATTCCCTGATTAGTGACAGTGGGTATATTAATCTATCTTTGGTTATGGGCTAATAGTATTTTACACTAAGCATAAAGGAGTTAAAGTCATTTAGTTAGGATGGCGCTTGTTCAAATAGTAAAACAGGCATGGGTGAAGAGATTAGTGTTCAAACATTGTACCCCGGAACTCAATCATGAGTAATTTTGCAACTTTATAATTCATGGTGATTCAATAAATTATTAAAAAAAAAATAAAACTGTTAACATTTTAAAAAAATCACTCCTCACATGTAGTGGTAAGGTCAGAGTTGAGAGCTGTTTTTAAGGTAGAATTTGCAACATACTTATACAGCAGAGGCATTATCCAAAGCTTCCAGGCAAGTAACATTCGTGCAGGGGTGATGTGGGCATTGTGAAAGAAATTTGAGGGAGAGAGGACTGTAGTAAGTGCGGGACGAAGGATGGTTTCGGGGAAGGTGCATGCAGGAAAGAAAGAAGGCAAAAGGGTCCAGAAGGGTCGGACTAAAGGGTGGCAGGAAGCAGAACGCTGTGGTCTTGAATTTGCAGGATAGATGGTGCCGGGTATTGCCCAGTGCTGCAGAGAGCTGGGAAAGGCTGTGCTGAGAACATGAAGCAGTTCAAACGGCAGATACTAATTTGATGCTTCCACTGGGCAGGTGTTGTTAGAAACATATCATGTATACCGTGTACTCAAGGAACAAAAACTAGTGGGGCGAATGACAAACTAGTACATGAACCAACTTTAAAAAGAACTGGGAATAAGGTTGGAATAATAGTACAGCGGGTAGGGTGTTTGTTTTCATGCAGCCAATCCAAATGGGATCCCTGGCACCCCATGTGGTCCTTTAAACATCACCAGGTGTGTCCCAAACCAAAGATCAGTAGCAGCAAAAGAGAGAATCAGAACCAGGATGGAATTTTCTTTGACTTACATTGGTACCTTTACTTAAAAAACAAAAAATGATTAATTTGTAAATATGGACAGGTTCTTCAAGCTTCTTTCTTTTCCAGAAAATGGCCAAAAACAAAGTAAGAGGACAGAAGACCAGGAATGTGTTCCACATAGCCACCCAGAAACACTTGAAAGCTAAAAACAAAGCAAAACCAGTTACCACTAACCTCAAGAAGGTGAGTTGCAACTCCCTGTCTTTAAGTGTCACACTAGGCAGTATTCGGGCTTTCTCGGGCTCTGCTAAGGGGTCACTCCCAGTGATGCTTGGAGACCATATCCGGTATCAGGGACTCGAATGGGCTGGCCACATGCATCCTGTGCGGCCTCTCCAACCCATTATGCTCTCTTAACATTGATAAGAAAATTATAGTTTATGGGCAAATGAGAGTTTTATAGTTTGTCTATAAGCAACACCACATAGTTTCATAGTTTATTATAAGCAAACTATAGCTAGATAGCTATATTAAAGTTACTGAAAATCTGAGGCTTGGTTTTGGTTTTTTTGTTTTTGGGGTTTTTTTGGGGGGTTTTTTTGGGGTCACACCCATCGATGCTCAGGGGTTACTCCAGGCTCTTCACTCATGAATTACTCCTGGCGAGACTGGGGGACCATATGGGATGCCGGGGATCAAACCCAGGTTGGCCGTGTTCCAAGCACATGCCCTACCCACTGTACACTCCTGCCCCTGAGTTGTTTAAAACAGGTTGTTAGTTATTAGCCTTTCCCATAGAGGTAAGATGATCTTAAACTTTCATTTAAAAAAAAAAGAGTGATAAAGGAAAATAACCTCTCTGTTTGAAAGGTAGCCCCCAAATTTAATTGCCAGTACATGGGCTCTGTTGCTTAATAACCGGTGAGAGATGTGTCTTTCAAGCGGTCGACCTCACGCCCTCCATGTTCACGGCTTGCAACAGTCCGGCATCGCATCGCAAAGTTGAAGAGCTGAAGAGCACGTTACGGAGAATGGTTCTTACTTCTCTGAACTCAAATATATTTAAGGACCCCGTCCCTTCCCTCCTCATCAGCCCTCCTACGCGCGTGTGTGCACACGTCAGCAGCCTCTGAACAGAGGCAGCACTTGGAATATCTGCCACAGTTTTAAGTCCACAGGAATGAATCTTTTCTGAAGATACCTACAACTCAAAAAAGAACTTTAACAAATGGAACATAATTCTTTCTCTTACAATGCTAAATTTAAAAAGAAGCTTCATCTTTTAGCTTTTATTTCAAAATATTTTCTAAATTGGGAATTTCTTCATCAACATTAAGTGAATTTCTTAAGAAAATTCTCCAAGAAAACCTTTCCAAGTTTATAGAGCCATGTCCGCAGGACTCTGAATTGTCAGGAAGTTAAAAAAAAAGAAAGTAATATTTTAAATTTTCGAGAAAATGGAACCTGTCGATGGAGTGGGTCTTATGGTTCTGTAAAAAACTGTAAGAGAAGTAAAGCTAGGTGATATTAGGGTATATGGAGGTGGGGAAACTAAACTGGTGTTTTGCACAGAAATTTATCTTCAGGGGCCAGAGCAGTAGTACAGCTGGTAGGATGCTTGTTTTGCACAAGGCAGACCTGGGTTTAGCCCTGAGTGCTGAGCCAGAAATGAGCCCTGAGCACTGCTGGGTGTGCCCCCCCCCCCCAAAAAAAATAAATTATCTTCAAAGTTGACATCAAAATCAAGACCTGTACAATATGGAACTGTGTGAAAGAATTTGGATATGGGGTAACAGGGGTGAAGAGCAAATGCAAGGCAAGGGAGAGCTGGGTCTTTGGAGAGCGTTTGACAAGAAGCACTGGAGTCTGCACGTATGCTGATGGGAGAGATCAGAGCGTTTCTAACAGTACTAGGGGGAGGTCCCAAGATTCCAGGGCACTGCATATGCAGAGTGAATTGAAGTCTGTGGTCAAGAACGTAAAGGGAAGTGGGCCAGCTGGTCATGATTTAATACAGCTTCTGTTTTAGGCTTCAGAGATGCTAACAGTTGAGTTTAGTTTGCCAACCAGAATTGATGAAGAGAAGGAAAGTTGAGTGTATAGAAGCGATTAATAATCATAGAATCTGTTGGTTAAAGGAGAAGAACGAGAATACGGAAATACAAAATTGATGGGAAAAGATTGCAGTGGGATTTGAGCTTGGTTAATAAACTAAAGGAACCAGAAGGAGAACAAGTCGTAGGTAACGACACAAATCTAAGGGAATCTGAGGAAGTTGCTGCTAATGGGAAATAGGAAAGAACCCTGGAGATGAGAACTTGAAGAGATTAATAGGTTTAGGAATCCCCCCACCTAGTCTGGTTTGGGTTTTCAGGTTGCATCCAGTGGTCCTCCAGGGCTGGGGACCGACCTGGCCTGCACTATGTCCTCCAGTCCGCTGAGCTCTGGCCCAGGTTTGTTGAAGCCAGTAAGCAGTTGCCCCAGGTGTGAAACAGAAGATTGGATGATGTATGATGTTGGTTAAGGAGAGTCGTGGAGAAACTGGTGTTGATATCCTGATACCGATGGGGCAGAGGAGCCGTGAAATGGTTTGGGAGTAGCAATCACAATCACAATCACAAATCATCCTGTTATTCGTCGATTGCCTCGAGCAGGCCCCAGTAACCGTCTCCTTCATCCTGGCCCTGAGGTTATATTCAAGGCTCTTTAGGAGAATGAGACCCATCATTGTTCCTGGTATTTGGCATATCGGGTATGCCACGGGGAGTTTGCCAGACTCTGCCGTGTGGGCAGGCTACATTCGGTAGCCTGCCAGTTTGTCAAAGTAGAACTGAGACTCATAATAAGATGTCGCGCGGCCATGCGGTTCCGGGAGCTGGTTTTTTATAGTCTCAGAGTCTTGGCCGCTGATGGGATTACACGGCGCCAAGGGGCCAGCTGGTGGGTGTGACCCCCGCCTACTGGAATTCGGAGGATCTGGGTGGAGGATGCTCGACTCCAATCCAAGTAGGCTTGGAGATCTCGGCCCCGGAACCCACATGGCTTTGTCCCTCTGCCGGTACCTTCAGGTGTGCGGAGGGTGGTCTCAGCATGGTGGTGGCTGGTCCTGGAGGTCTTCGGCTGCCGGAGCCCTGGTCGGGGCGGGGAGGAAAGCTCAACCCGCTCCCCTCCAAGGGGCCCCGGCGAGGGGAGTAGCAATGGGAAAGAAATTACTTGGGGGTCAGAAAAAGAGTATGGAGGGTAAGTCACTGGGCTTGCACAGGGCTGACCCACGTTTGATCCCCAGCACCTTATACAGTCCCCCAAGGCTGCCAGGAGGGACCCCTGAGTGCATGTTTAGCTGTGAGCACAGCTGGGTGTGGCCCCAAACCAACCACAAACAAAAAACTCCTACTTCCAACTCAGTTTAAAAAGTGGGGTAAGCTGTCCTCGGGACATTTCCAGAACATTGATGAAAGCTACAAGGTTAAGAAACGAATGCAGAGATGTGCTCTCAGGACACCTAAAACACATCCACGTTACAGACGAGAAATGATGCACAGTCATCTCTAGGAAGATTGTAGTCGTGTGGGGGTTGTTTGTAGCCCTGAAGTTAAAGGCATATCCATGTACTAATTCTTTTCTTTAAAGACCCCGAGTTCCATCAATTGAAAAAAATAAAAAACCACAGAACTTTATAGTGTTGTTTCCCAGTAAGACTACTAATAATGTGGGTAGAGTTGATAAAGAGCTTTTACTTGTAACTTCTTTTTCAGTGAAGCAGTGGTTTTTGTTGAGTGAAACATGCTTAGAAAAATATGAGAGGAGAAAAAGGGGAGACATGTATAAAGAGAGAACACAGGCTTCTCAGGAATAGCAGGCCAGGGAAGGCCAGCGAGCGAGGTAACCTGGTCCCAAGGAGGGCACAGGCTTCAAGGAGCGAGTCCTGGAGCTTTTAGATGTTTGGGTTTAACAAGGTGAAGTCAACAAGGTGGGTCTCTTTTCCACAATTAGGAAATCATGGATTAATGTCTTTTCTTTTTGAAAGATAAATATTGTGAATGAGGAAAAGATCAACAGGATGAACAAAGCTTTCGTAGACATACAAAAGGAGCTTGCACACTTTTCAAAAGGCCTTTCCCTGGAGCCTCTGCCGAAACCACTGGTGAGTGAAAATAGCTTCCTTTTATTTTGACAAGTAAGTTGGAGGCTAATAAACTAAATTTCAGGTTTGAAAGCCTATAGGGTAAAAATTTGGTTTTTGTTTGTTTAAGTACAGATAGCTTTTATTTGGAAGTTTTTAGGAAGTGGGGGAGAGGAAAGAGAGAGCTGTAAATGAGAGAATGCAGACTTTGGGGGCCGGAGTGATAGTACAGCAGGGAGGGTGTTCGCTTTGCACGCAACAGACCCAGGTTCGATCCCCGGCGTTCCATGTGGTCCCCCGAGCACTGCACCACCAGGAGTGAGGAGTGATTCTTGAGTGCAGAGCCAGGAGAAACACTTGAGCATCGCTGGGCGTTACCCATAATGCCAAATAAATAAATTAAATAAAAAGTAGCACTGTAGTACTGTCCTCCCGTTGTTTATCGGTTTGTTCAAGTGGGCCCAGTAACATTATTAGACTTGTTGTTACTGTGTTTGGCATATCGAATATGCCACGGGGTAGCTTGCCAGGCTTTGCTGTGCGGGCAAGATACTCTCGGTAGCTTGCCGGGCTCTCCAAGAGGGGCAGAGGAATCGAACCTGGCTTGGCTGGGCCAGCCGCGTGCAAGGCAAATGCCCTACCACTGCTGTGGTATTACTGCAGCCCAATAAAAAGAGAGAGGGAGCGAGAGGAGGGGAGGGGAGGGGAGGGGGAGGAGAGAAGGGGGAGGGAGAGGGGAGGGAATGAATGAATGAATGAATGAATGAATGCGGGCTTTCTAAGGCAGAGAGAGTCCAGCCCACACCCGAGCATCAAAGTACGAAAGTGCACATGGGGGGTGGGGGCAGCGTGTACTCGGACACAGGCACCAGCAGCAGCGCACTCGCACCTAGAAATTTTTTAAGTATGTGGCTCTCTAGTATTCTTAATTGTTTATACATAGCATGTTCAGTTTTTATTGCCTTCTTTGGAAGATCAGATTAAAAGACATTTCGTTAGGCATCAGAATATGTGCAGATCACGATTTGATATTACTAAAATTTTAAAGAACTTTTTCTTCTTTAGATTCCTCAGCAGTGTCATGAAAACGAACCAGTTAATGTCGATGAAGCTACCAAGTTAATGGCTCAGCTGTAATAAATGCTGGTGATGCGGCAGACTCCCACCCCCACCCCCCGATCAATAAATTAAATGTTTCATACAATTTTATTTTTAAAAATCTTGTTAATGTACAGACATTGGCACAGTTTTAAAACATACTACACAAACAGGTCTTTCCTATAATCTAGGAAAGTGGAATGTCAGAAGTCCTCAAAGTGTGGTCAACTTAAAGTGCTAAAACAGAAGGCACTTCACAAAATCTGTTCACTGAAACAGTCTGTGTATCCCAATTTACATCCTTCACTTTATGAGTTCTAAGTGGCAGTGAGTGTCTGTGTGCATCGAGAACACACAGGAATCTGGACAGTGTCCTGGCAGTAGGAACTGAAGACAAGTGGGAAAGCCCGTGACAACTATTTGTTTTTGATGACCTTAAGTGTACTTTTCTCTCATAGGAGAAAAAAAAAAAACGAGAACAGAAGGATTCAGAATGGGGGAGGGGAGCTGAACCCCTAAAATATAAAGCACTTGAAGGGGGTTGGGGGCTAGTGGATATTAAGTCACTTTACCCCTGAAGCAAGCAGAGCCCTTTGTATTTATGGGGGAAGTTTTGTGAAGTAAAAAAAAATATGTGCTGGGGGCCAGGGGTGGGGCTTAGTGGCAGAGTATAGCCTCGGAGCCCTCGGTCCAATCCGGGTCCAATCCCCGGCAGCACAAAGGGGAAGAAAAGTATTAAGAAGTATAGTTCAGAATCAGTGAACTAAACAGGTGTTACATTCATTATCTTAAATACTTAGGTTAAAGGAAGTCTAAAATGTACACAGTTAGAGGTAGATAACAGTCCCAAGTTTCCATAGACTAGTAATTTAGTATCTGGACATCAAACAGATCACAAACTCCTTCATTATCATCTAAATTAAAGTTGTAGTCATCGGCAGGGGTAGGAGAAAGTCTTAAGAGCGGAAACACTGCAAATAAAACACAAGCTCTGTGTTAAAGCTAGATTCTACATCAGGGAGGCCATACTTAGCACAATTCTGAACTAAAAATTGCTGTTAGTGGGTAGGGTGCTTGCACAAAGCCAACCCCGTTCAATCCCAGTGGGTGGTTTGCACAAGGCCAACACCAGTTCAATCCTCAGCATCCCGCATGGTCCCCTGAGCACAGTCAGGAGTGATTCCTGAGTGCAGAGTCAGAAGTAAGCCCTGAAAGCTGCTGGGTGTAGGCCAAAAACAAAATTGCTTTGTCATACAGGAATGATGTGTGTGTGTGTGTATACTAGGAAAAGCAGTTGAATGTATATTTTGAAAGATTTCTTATTAAATGTATGCAATGAATATAAATATTAGCATAAGAAACAAGTTAAATATTAGATAAACTTACCACTAAAATACAAAACTCAAAGATTTTGATCAAAGCATTTTCTCTCACCTTAAAGGCAGAAGTATGGTCTGGGCTAAGTCAATTTACTGATACTCTCTGTTTCTACAGAATTACTGAATAAATCTTCCAGTGGCTTCCCGGTTCTACTTACTAGGAACCAGGACTCTGAATCTAAGAACTATGTGAGGCCAAAAGATGTTCCAGCCAATTGGTTTTTATGAGTGACTTCAGACTTGGGTCCAAGAGATGTTCAGAGCGCGTGAGCACACGCTTTGCACGTGGGCACTCCGAGCTATTTACCCTGGTAATGTAGACCCCAGGCACTGAGCTGTGAACCCCTGGGCACTGCCCAGCGTAACCCAGAAACGAGGCTAGGGTAATGGATAACTGGGCTAATGTTTGACACTTCAGTGAACTCGCAGAGGTAGCTTGGAATTGGTCCTTGTGAGTGGTTTTATATAAAACTGGATTCAGGCTTAGACATATCTCACTCTTCTTGATCAGGTTCTTTAGGAGTGAAAAGGGCTAGGTGCCCACAGGTTGGAAGCTGATTCAGTGAAAGTACTAAGTATGGATTCTTTACCTTGGAATCTGCGGGTCAAGAAAACTTTTTAAGGATGCTTGTGATTTACTAAAAGTATTACTTTGTTTTTGCTTTTGGGGGTCACACCCAGTGGTGTTCAGGGCTTACGGGCCATAAGTGAGGCTGGGGACCAAATCCAAGTCGGCTACATGCGAGGCAAGCACCCTGCCACCGTACTACTGCTCCGGCCCCTCACAAAAAAGTATTCTAAGGGAGAATCTTCATGAATCACCACAGAACATTAAGCAGATAAAATATCAAAGTTTCTTCGTTGTAAATCTTGTGTCAGATTCTAGAAAAGCCTTAGCAGTGCTGGAGAGATACAGGGCATATACAAGTGTCCAACCAAGCTTCCGTGGTTCTGTGGTTCCCGGGGCCCCTCCAGGAGCGAACCCCCGGCCCCCTGTCCCCAGCCCACAGCATACTTACCGTCGGAAGACATTAATTCATCAATGATATCTCCACTCACAGATCCTGCTGAAAACAGAAAAGTGATCGAGTTACATTCCTGGGTTGGTTTTGTTTTACGGACCACACCTTGTGGGGCTCAGGGGACCATGTGGGCCACTGGGGGTTGAACTTTCAAGCCTCTGCATTTCTGTGTATATGCTTTAGCAATGAAAGGCTGTATTCCATATAAACATATATTTAGCGCATATATATTTGAACAGTATCAAGTGGTTAAGGACTAATCTGCTAAATAAACAGTACAAAGTCCTAGTACTAGAACTTAATGGAAAATATTTTCACGAGCACCTATTCTGGCTATTCCAGATGCACGATTTTTACATGCAAGATGTAAACCAAGCGATTTATTATCTGTTTCCCAAAACCGAGTCTTTAGATTCACAGTCACCCAGAGTGGTAGACAAATAACAAATTCAGAAGAACCCTCCAACGATTTAGTCCGATATTCCTCCTTCCCCTCTCTATTGACTGTAAAGCAAAGGCTCTGAACGCACCCGTAGGCAAGTCTGTGGCTGGAGTGTGTTGCAGACTCTGGCTTTTGTCCGAGACGCGTTGCTCGGGCAGATCCTGAGCGACTGGGCCAGTTTTCTGTGGCGTCACTGGGTTTGCGGGCTGAGGGGAAGGCTGTGTAAGGTCATCAGGTGGGGGCACAGGAAAGACCACGGGCTTCGACGAACTGGACTCTTTATTTATAAGCAGCACGCGGATGGGTCCTGAATGACTCTTTAGGTTGATCTGGTATTTCTTTTGTCCGTTCTGACCCTTTGAAGTTATTGGGTACAAAGAAATAAATATCCACGTTTCTGGCTACCTCGAAACATTAACAGTAAGATCAGTGGAACCAACTAGGGCCTAACTAGTTATATCCAAACTACAAAATCCAAAAATACCAGGAGACCCCCAAAGTAGAAAAGGATGTTGAGGGCTTTAAGTACTTGCCCCTAAGTGATTTTTTTTTTCTCACTTGGACAAAAACTGTCCATCCTAGAATTCTGGCAACAGTTCATTTTCACTGTAACTGTGTGAGACACTGCTCAGAAACACTGCAGCATTCTCCAGGTGCATACGTGCCCTCAGGGATATGGTCATCTCAGCTTGCTGTCTTAAAAACCATGTAAAGCAGGCAAAGCTCCCTCATGTCCATTCCACAGCAGGAAGATGTGACTTTTCCTAAAGAGGTATAAATGTAAAAATCCTTCCATTTCAAAAAAGATCATTTATATCCTGAGACTTTGGGATCCAGAAATTGAATATGTAAATTCAAATACATATAAAGCTAGGGGAAGGGGTTGCTAAGAGCAGTAGCTCCTCCTTATAGCTGTTATGACTTTTAAGTAAGTATAAGAAATCTCTCGGAGCTGGGGCAGTAGCACAGCGGGTAGGGCGTTTGCTTTGCATGCGGCTGACCTGGGGTTCGATTCCCAGCATCCCATATGGTCCCTCCCCTGAGCACTGCCTGGGGTGATTCCTGAGTACAGAACCAGGAGTAACCCCTGTGCATCGCCAGGTGTGACTCAAAAAGCACAAAAAAAATTTCTAAAAATTTAACTCTCGGGGCTGGAGTGGTAGCAGAGCAGGTAGGGCGTTTGCCTTGCTGACAAGCACTGCCTTGAGCACGCGAGGAGTAATTCCTGAGTGCATGAGCCAGGAGTAACCCCTGTGCATGGCCGGGTGGGACCTCCCCCCCTCAAAAAAAAAGAAATCTCTCATAAAATGTGGATGTATTCAGCAGAGTCAAAAAATGTACTGACTTTTGCCCAGAAAGTGTTTTTTTTTTCAAAACCTGATATAAAGCAACCTCTTATATTTAAACTGAAAATTTTCCTGAGTCAGGATTTTTATGTGTTGATACTTTGACTCAATTTTATGACTATTATGTCTTGTTCTCTGATATAGTTTAATTCAAATAAAAATCAAATTCAAAAAGACAAGTTACTAAAATGTCCAAGGGTTCATTCAGTCATTCTATAATTTTACCAAATTTAGATGTCAGTACTTCCAAATGGATAAATTGAAAGTATTCAAGCAATTACTCATGTTCAACTAAAGAAAATACGTTAGTTTCAACACCCAAGGACAGCAGAAACAAGGGCCAGTGCGAGTGGTCCATGGTTGGAAGCCTGCCTTGAGGGCTGCGGAGAGGGACAGAGATAGGGACCATAATGACAATGATGGTTCAAAGGGATCGCTTGGGATGGGAGATGTGTGCACAAAGTGGGTAAAAGGACCAAGCATGATGGCCTCTCAGTATCTGTACTGCAAACCATAATGTCCAAATAGAGAGAGAGAGAGGAGAGGGAGAGCGAGAGCGAGAGAGAGAGAGAGAGAGAGAGGAAAAGTTGGGGAGGGTGGGGAAGGGGGAGTGAGGTGGCAGGAGGGATAGGGCTATACTGGGGATAACAGTAGTGGGAAATGTACACTGGTGGAAGGATGGGGGGTTGGAACAGTGTATGACTGAAACCCGATTTCAGGTTTATAACTCTCAGAGTGATTCTATTAAAAACAATTTTTAAAAAAAAATACTCTAGTCTCTCTTCAGGTTAAGCAGATTCACTGTAACAAATCTTATCCTACTTACCATTTCTGGAATAGGAACCTCCAACTGTGTACCAGAAGGTGCTTGAATGGCCAAAAGTGTATCACCTGATCGAAATACAAGATGGAAAACTTTTAGAGAATACAACCGAGGACAGAGGCAAGAGTGAGGCTTTGATATGAGAACGCTTGGGTGTAATGGCCATGGGCCGTGGTCCTGGGCTGTGTTCCTGAATTTTGTAAGGAGAAATCCCACTTACTTAAATATTTTCAGGGTTAAATGAAGTACTATATGCTGCAGATTTTAGGGTAAATACTAGAGATGGCTCTCTTATTTTCATTAACAAATTCAGCTCATGTTCATTCTGCTTTCAGTTTTATTTACAAAAAGTCTGATATTCTTGAAACCTTTCAGCCTCAATCAAGTAACTCTGTTTATTTGAAATATTTAAACTACTGAAATGACTAAGGTAGAATCTTTCTGATCTAACTTCAGTAAGAGCCACAACCACTGGTGGTCAGGCTGGGCCACTCCAGCAATGCGTACCCCATTCATTAAGACAAGAATCCTTAAGTTTGCTTGAGCCAAATTCTGAAGCAGTCTCAGATGTACTAAGAAGACTTTCCCAACATTTTACTGGCACACTTCGAAGATACTGTGGCAGCGCAAATTGCCAATGAACTTTTAGATGGAAGTCAGATTTCCCTTGGCAGAAGGCTTGGCAGATGTTTATTTTGTACTCCTATACATATGTCATATACTATCACATGTACAGTACATATCATATACTTAGAGTATGGGGTTGAGGAAAGAATAGCGGGTAGGTGCTTGCCTTGCATGCAGCCAAGCTGGGTTTGATCACTGAAACCATCGTAAGTGATGACTGAGTGAAGAACCAGGAATAAGCCCAGAGCACAGCCAGTGTGCCCACAAAACAAACACAACAGTATGCTGTACCTCAAGAGGAAAGTACAGGGAGACAATGAATATAATAGGATCAGGCATGGCTTTCCTAGTTACGATTAATTCACTAAGTCTGTGCTTTCTCTGGGTTCCATTAGTGACCAGCAAGCTTGCTGCACAGAATTGTACAGTGCCAGAAAAAGAACTGTGTTCAAGTTCAGGTGCTGTAATTTTTTACTGTAATTCTGCATTTCCGAGACCACTCCTGAATCCTTCTCTGATTTAGCAGCTTCTCCTTCACATAGTTCAAACCATCAGTACCCATGCAGGTAGTACACTGAAAGCCGTGAAAAAGACATTCTCATGAGAAACACAAAAAGCCCATCAAAACAAAGCACTGCAGGGCAAGACAGAATGTCTCAACTCCTGAAGATTTTGAGTGTGTGCCTACAGAATTGAATTACTCACTACTAAGTAGGGTGATCAAACCATTTATTAACAAAAAAAAGTACTTACCATGAAAGCAATTGCAGATGTCTTCATGAGTTACATAGGAAAATGTATTATCACAGGAGTTAAGGAACATTCAAGTATAGGCATTTAAATGAAGACAGCAAGTATGATGGCTGAAATAAATAAGATAATGAGCTACACAAAAGGAGTGCTATGTGCGATCAGATTTTCAAAAAAGCAGGAGACTAAAGCCCTAAAAAGCAAGGACGATCAAGGTCCTTAAAAAGAGCACCCACCCTTGATTTCTTGGCCACCAAAACATCCTCCTCATGCAGGAGGGACTGAAGAGGAAGAACAGTGATGGGGAAACACCAGTACCTCCAACGAGAGAACAGCCATACAGGCCTCTATAGCAAGAGTCCTCCTGGGCTACAGTTTGGGGAACTGGGAGTGGGCCAAATCTTGGAAAGCTCAAAGTCCAAGATCAATTAGTCTCGGATTCTGACATTCGGATTCTGACATTCGGATAGTCTCGGATTCTGACATTCGGATTCTGAGACACTATAGGATACAACTGGAAAATCCCCACTGTGGCCAAAATATGAAGGAGCTCTGACCCATTGGAAGGAAAGAACAAGAGCAAGGACCCCTTCACCGAAGACAAGACCACAGGAAGAGTGAATTGCCTGCATTAGACAAAAGTTCACAGGATGCGGTAGACGATAAATGTAGTTAAGATATTCTCTAAGAGTGCAGGTTATGTTCACAAATCAATAGAATCATTCATCTAAATGTTCAAAGCACAAACATGGAGCATAACAAGCATCTTTTCCTCTAACATCATATGATACTTAAGTCCTGGAGAACTCACCCACCTTGAGCAGGTATAATCTTTAAGGTAATATTCAGATAAAGTATCCTGGATTGATTGTAGATTCTTGATGTTTTATTTTCAAATATTAATACATTTTTCCCCTTTTGAGAGTGGATGACTTTTTGTCACTTCTGAACACGATTTAAATATACTTTATACAAAACTAAATTTAAAAATATTCTACACAGTGGCTTCTAACTTTGAGAAACACCTTCTGGCTAGCACAAAACAAACTGAGTGGAGCAAAAGATTTGTTTTCTGCCAAACAACACAAAGTAAATTAAGAGATGCACTATGTAGTTTATTAGAAAATCAAATTAAAATGTAATAATCACTTGTAAAACAACTCTCTAGCTGATCTCCAAACTGGAAGAATATGCTAGAAACACATATTCTATTGAAATACGTATAACTTATGTAAAAGGATATCTATTATTAATGGAGTCGTCCATCACATTTTTGATGCTTTGCTGTAGCCACGACTTCTGCTGATCAAGTTCTCTCTCCTTTAGTTCTAGATCTTCAATTTCAGCTTTAAGATACCTTAATCTATCTATAACTTCTTTAGTATTACAGCCAGCGCCTACACCTCTTAAAAATATTTAAGAATTTAGTATACATTCAGGACAGAAACTTGCATCCTCTTCTACGCAGCGTTAAAACACCAGATATTTAAACACCACCCATTGGGACCTTAACACCAGACCTCGGAATCCACTTCTTAAAAAATTACTGACAAAAAAGGTGTAACTATAAAAATGCGCTGTGCGCTTGAGTGGCATCTGCCTGAACCAAGGCCGAGCTGGCGGCTGAGACCCCAGGAAGATGACAGAACTATCACGCTTAACGTCATGCCACAGATTGAGAGGCTGGCAAAAGAACTTATCATATATGGGTAGAATTTTAAATAAAAATAAAAACTAGGCATAGGGCACAAAATCATGGAAGAGAGGGCCCCCCCTACATTCAAGCACAAAACCATGGGGGAGTTGGGGGGCTGCGGCTGGAGCAACAGCACAGCAGGTAGGGCACTTGCCTTATGGGGTGAACCAGATTTAATCACCAGCACCCCACTGGGATTGCCACCAGGGATCGCCAGCAGTGACCCCCCCCCCCCCCCCCCCCCCGAGTGCAAGGAAGCAGTGTAAACCCAGAAAATTAAAAAGAAAATTTTTAAAAAACATACAACAACAAATAAAGCATACATATTAGTCAACTGTTACTGGAATATAACCTATGTATAAGACAAAGCTCCTATTCTGAAGCAACTAAAATTAGTTGAATAAATATTTAAGCGGAGAGATTAAACATACAAAAGAGTAGGCAGTGTGCGCCCATTGAGTACCTTCAGAGGGCAAACAAGATTTGCATTTTAAGTGTGATAAGTCAACAGTAGAGAGAGCAAGATAGCAGCTCAATAAACAGTGGTCTAGAGCACAGACGGGGGCAGGCGAGCTCGCTTCCGACCTGCAGACAGGCTGGACCATCTATGCCCTACGGTTTGCCTTACACATGCACGCCTTTGAGAAGGGTGAAGTCGAAAAGCAGGTACAGGAAGAGAGAAACTACCTCTGCTAACAGAAGCATGTCTGTCCTCTGTACTGCAGATTACGTGAATATGGTATCTCTCAAAATACCTTTCTGTAGGTAACCAATGTATCTTGGTTGTGACAATAACCCAAACACCATTAAGCACAACCACCATCGAAGGAAACTCAGTCTGAGACCCCAGAGAGATTTAGAGAGGAAAGAGAGGCCTGGTAGTCTACTAGAGGAAGGAGATTCTATAGAGCCTCTGGAGAAAAAAAGAAAGAAGGTTTTAGAGCAGGTACTAGTTTGTAACTTACTTCCATTGGATACTATTTTTTGACTTCTTTTCAATCAGGTCAATTCCTTCCAAGACATTGGTGATATCATAAATTCTTCTTTTTTGTCTCACAGCCAAAGTATCTGCAGCCTGTATTTTTGGGTTTTGTTTTTAAAGGGAAACGGGCATGAAGAACAAAAAGAAAATGAAATAAGAGACAATTCCTATTTTAATATGACAGCCTGAGTGGGTGCCCAACCCCAAACATGACCTTGGGAACAGCAACTGGGTATGTCCAAACCCCCAACTCCAACATGGCAGTCACCAGAGAAATGGTTCCATTTAAAAGATAGCAGATTATGGGATACAAAAAATATATATATAATAACAAAGCCAGCAGATGTTGGAATGGACAAAAAAACATTAAAAGGTCATGGCATAAAACCCACAAAAATAAAAGAGCAAAGTAAGAATACTCTTTGTTACATTACGAACTAATTCTCAGAAGGACCTATTAATTATCCATAACTTACTGCTGTGTTCATAGGCAGTCTCATGTAAAGATAGTTCAGTTATTGTAATTTTTTATTGTAATTCAAGTCACTTGAGAAGAATTTATTAATTATAAACACGTGAAACACACCTGATTTTTTAAAATTCGTGATTTTTAAAAATTCACAATTTTTACAACAGAAAAGTGAATCATGCCACTACAGCACAAAGTATGGGGTAAACAAGAAGTCAAAAGCTACAGCACCAGTTTGTGGTACCTGCAAATCTGCAAATATTATTTTTAAAAATTTAGACTTTTCACTCACACTGGATAAGATCAACAAAATTTTGATCTGACCATATTAGGAATGAATTACCACATTAGGAAGGAACACAGTACTTTACTTTTTATTTTTTTATTTTTTGCTTTTTGGGTCACACCCGGTGATGCACAGGGGTTACTCCTGGCTCATGCACTCAGGAATTACTCCTGGCGGTACTGGCAGGACCATGTGGGGAATCGAAGCTGGGTTGGCTGTGTGCAAGGCAAATGCCCAACCCTCTGTACTGTTGCTCCAGGCTCGGAACACAGTTCTTTAACCAAAGTAGTTGCCACTTACAATTCTGTCATTCATACCTCAAGAGAACAAATGGATCTGGAATAAGAGGTTCCCCTACAGTTCTTTTTCCCAATGGATAAGGCAATAATCTATTCTGAATGTGGAGTCGCACTTTGAGATTCATGGTCACAATGAAAAAAACACTTTTATGTCACTACTGACAATTTTCAGCACTTTATTTCAATTAATAAATAGAATTTAGCTGCTTACTAATGGCAAATCAATTTTATCAGAGTATCACTAATTTCTTGGTTGTGTTAACAAAGTAGGTCCTCTAAAACCCCAGGCCAGCATACTACTTGCGATCTTCCTTTCCTGGGAAGGAGTTTCTACCACCAGCAATTGCTCATTCCATAAGCATTTGAAATCTTAGGGGCTGGAGCAATAGTACAGCGGAGAGGGCACTTGCTTTGCACGCGCCAGGTTCAATACCCCAGACATCACATACAGTGCCTCAAGCACTGCCAGGAGTAACCCCTGAGCATTACTGGGTGTGACACAAAAAAGAAGAAAGAAAGAAAGAAAGAAAGAAAGAAAGAAAGAAAGAAAGAAAGAAAGAAAGAAATCAGTTCTATCCATATACTTGCTACTAAAAGTGCCAAGTTCCTGTTGTCCAGTCATTTACACTGGCCCTCGGGAAGGGGACTCACGTAAGACATAGCAGGAAGAGGAAGAGGGAAGGAAGTTCCCGAATGTGGAGCTATTGGAGTCCCCAGGTGTGGGATGGCCCTATTTCTTACTAACCAGAAAATCACACACTGGGACTAAGCGTGGTTTCATTTCTCTTCACTCGATCTACCTTCGGCTAGTTTCTCTTCTTCCGTTTTGAAAAGGCAGCTTTTCAGGAGCACAACAGCCTGCCACAAACTACAGAAAGCTGAAGTTTCTGTCTGCATCTCTCCTTTTCTTCTCAAGAGGCCCTCTTGAGAAGCAAGCCGGCTCTGTGTTAACAGTTTCTATGTACTCACACACAAAAGCGTTTTCAACCATAGCAACAGCTCATGGGTTCAACTATTAGAACATGTGTATCTCAACCAGACCACAGAAACTATTCTAGATTCTTAGGCAGAGTCAGGGGATTTCACTTTGAGTGCGAACATTTTGATGAAAGCACCTTACTTATAAATGCAGTGCTACTTAGCAACTGCCAAACTGAACCCTGAGATCCCAAACTAAACATTTAAGAAGATTTTCGATTACAGTATATAAACACAGAACTAAACAACCTGTCAAGAAAGTAACAACTCAAAACAGCATCCAAGAGATTTCCATTTTAGCAGTCACATTATTCTTCACAAGCTAGGCTCTGAGGCACCCGATGCAGTTCTAGTGCTCTGAATTTCTATCTTCATCTGGTCTCAAATTCATTAAGCCTCATCTTTTTATTGGGGAGAGAGGGGTAAAATGAGACAATAGCATATGCTTACTTGTGGGGATTAACTAGATAATATCGGCACAATATCTGCTGCATAATTAATTCTGGTAACAGCTGCATCGAATCAAGTACAAGGATTCTGAGGGGCTTTCATCTCTTTGGGGGCCATACCCTGTGTTGTTAGAGGATATCTCTAACCCAGTGCTGGGTCGGACCCTGGGTCTTTTTGCACTCAGCCCAGTAGGTTCTCTCTCCAGCCCCTCAAATCTCTGTTCATATGGGATCACAGCACCCATCAGACCTCGGATCATCAGATCCATCTGACACAGGATGGCGCCTAAGAGCAGAGCTCGTGTTTGGGGACCTACCATACTCTGGCCCCTAAAGAGAAGATGGAGTGAATCAGACAAGCTAAGACAGAAGAAAACAGGAATGTTTAGTGACTGGGGCCAGCCAGAGTGCCGAGCTGTAGACAGCAGGCAGAAGTGTAGGTCAGGGGCTGGAGTGATAGCGTAGCAGGTAGGGCGTTTGCCTTGCATGCGGCAGACCCAGGTTCGATTCCCTGCATCCCATATGGTCCCCTGAGCACCAACAGGAGTAACTTCTGAGTGCAGAGCCAGGAGTGACCCTTGTGCATCGCCGGGTGTGACCCAAAAAGAAAAAAAAAAGTGTAGGTTAGCTCTTCCTTTGGGCAGCTTTTCATTCCTTATCAGCACCTGTGTGTGTGTGTGTGTGCGTGCGTGCACGCGCACACACACACTCACACAGGAAATGGTGAAGGGAGAGGAAGCTCAGTGTTCTGAAGAAAAGAGAAAGTCTGAAGAGCTTGGGTACACACCAACACAGCAGGCATTGTCACAGGAATACTGGACCCCAACATCCATCCTTTGGAAGCGGTTGGGTTTGACGTGCACCCACTGGGATTATTGTGTATTTGTCTCTGGCCCCATGGTGCAGCCAGGGCCAGGCAGAGAGCACAGAGGGGACCTCCACATCTCACAGTAACTCCACGCTGGTTAGCAAACACACGCTCACGTGCTTTCATGCAATCTGCTCCGAAAGTTTAAACTTGATGCAGGAAGTTGAGGAATCTCTTGCAAGAGTTTTATTCTCCCACCTACCCCCACCACCTCTCTCAAGAGATAAGCTATTTCATTACCAAGGGAGTTGACGGGAGTCATCCAGTAAAGTGGGGGTCACAATGTAAGCCTTTAAAGAGAAAGATGTTGGTAGGCAGAGGTAGGTGAAACTATGAGCCACAGAGGAAGTACATGTCACTGAGACCCCCCTAGTCCATTAAAAAAAAAAAACCTGCACATGCCCACCTGAAGGAAAGAATCTCTCCTCCAAATATTATTGTTTTAAATGCCCCCCAATTGTGAATAATGTGATATCTACATATGGAACAAAATTACAGCATGTGACCTTTAGAAGAGGTGGGCAAAACAAATAAACCAGGAGCGTCCAGAGGCATCACATACAAGTGCTGAAAAAGGACTGGAAGAAACTTTCGGGCCCCACCCCCATCACTTCAACAAATGAGTCCACTGAGACTCGGAGAGGAAGAGCGATTATGTGGTAGCTTTATTTGAGTTAGGATTAGGTGCGGTTCATTTGCTCAGGGATGTTCTGATGGAGCACGATATTGCTCCATCAAAAGGGCTAACAAAAAGCAGTAACTACGGGAAACATCCTGTCTTTCAGGTTCTCCACTCCAGGCAGGTGTTTTACTCTTCCATGACCACAAATGTCCACACTGCACACTCCATGTTTCAGGTACTGTGTGTTACAGAAACTAGCAGTTCCAAAAGAAAGGAGAGGCCAAAAGTAGAAAATGGGCAACTGAAACATGACATGAAACCCAGGAGTCACATACATGCACACAAGTTGAAATGACAGGATATTAAGAATAAGCCAAAAGGACCTCAAGTGATACACCGAGATCACCCTTATTCTCCTAAGCATTAAAAAGGAAAAAGGAATGAATTCGCTTTCAGCTGTGCCATGCAGTATTTCTTGTTCCTCTACCTCAAGGTTTTCTCAGTTGACTTCCAACTGTTAAATTAGTATGAACAATGTCTGGTTTCAACTAAGAGTTTGATGAATCACTTATAAACCAGTAATGAGATAACTGTGTAATAGGATCTTTCACAGATGTCACCTAATTTAATGCTCACAACACTTTTACAATTATCATTGTCTTATAGGGAAAAAAGACTCAGAAAGCAAATGTGTAATAGGCTTTCGTACCAATTACATATTTATAAAAATAAACATAGCAAAACCTTTTCAAATGGACCTGTATAATTTTAAATAAATGTAGTTCACAACCCCAAATGCCCAAGCTGAATTGTAACTGCACTGAATACGTAATTCAAGTACAGTAGAATAGATGGTTTCATGTAACATGCATGAAATGGTCTAAAAAAAAAAAAAGCAGATGTTCATTTCCATGCATTTAAATGACTCAAAACAAAGTTTCAAAAAATAATAATGATTGCATGCAACACTAAGACTTTCAAACTCTAGTTAAAAATTTTGGGTTCTTTTTTGTTTTAAATAAAGGCCCATAAAGAAGAGATGAAGTATTATAAGAAGGTGGAAGCAGAGATTACTTAGGGTGGGGGCAGAAAGAAAGACCCTAGAGGAGGCCACTGCCTCCC